TCGTGTGTTCGGGGTTTTTTTTTCCCTCCTGAAGGCGGTCTGAAGCGGTTGCTTAGACACGGGCGGTCGCGGGGTTTGGGAAACTTCCCTGGCGGCTGGGGAGCGGGCTGTGGCCGCCCGGGTCCGCCGGCAGCCCCGGTGTTGCTCCCACCCGGAGGCAGCGGAGAGGAGCAGTGGCTGCCCCTCGCCTTGGCGTGTTGGGGCTAGCAGGTGCCAATCGCTCTGCTTTCCTCCTGTCGCGGTGCTCGTTCTCCGTTCCAAAATCGTGAGAGAAAGCTTCCAAGGCAAAGGCTCAACCTGAAAATGAGCGCGAGAGTCCTGAAGCGCTTTCTCTCCCGGGGTCTCAGTTACGTGGCTGGACTTTGACGAACTTGTAGTATTTCCCCGCTGGCTTGCTTAGTTTGCTGTCAAATGAATGTCTGATGTCCAGTAAACTTACTGTGGTGTTAGAGCTGTCTTGCAAAACGTCCGCGAGCTCCGCAGATTGCATGTGTTCAGTGCAGATTTGGGGCCTAACCGGTTTTTAACTTCGCTGATGATACTGGGAGCCTTCATAAATAGTAACGGCCGATGGTATGTAAGAAACAGGTGTTTAGAAATTACACTTTTTAAACGGAGCTGAAATGTTATTGCAGGTTGCTTCTCCACGTGAAGCTGAAGTTTCCCAGAGGTGACTGAGCGCTGTGTATTGATGTTGAAGTCAATGACGGCAATCGAAAGGAAGCTCAGGGTTTACATTGCAGAATATTCAATGACAGATACGTTTCAGACAGGTTTTTGAATCCTTTATCCCCCTCTCTTTGATAATTCCTTCTAATACAGAAAATCAAAATTGGTTTTAAAGGTGACTCAGCTGTCTGGTGCTCATCACGTCTTGTTGAACAGCGGTTATTTTTACCCACACTCTTCAGATCTCAAGTGTCACCCAGCAGCCCCGACTGTACTGGGAGGCGCTCCGATCAAAACCGCCAAATCAGACTCTGCTGCAGAGGCGCTAATTGCGTTATATACTTAATAAGGTTTGGGGGGGGGAAATCG